GGCTCACTTATCATTACAGTTTTACCCTCTGTTCTTGGTGCAGAGAGACGTGCATTTCTTGGTTTTCATCGTTTAAATACACAAACATAATTTTAAATGTCATTTCTAAGTGTAGGAGCAGAATGGGGAGGTTTTGGCATGAGATCACTCTGCCATCTTGGTAGATGGTAGTCTATTCTGAATCTTGACAGCTCTATTTTCTTGCTTTAATACTGTGGACTTTTTCATGATCATATACTGGTATGCTTATGTATATATATTTGTTTAAAAGATCTTGAATGAAATGTGTGTATATATATATATATATACACATAATACATAACACACATAAGAAATATAACACACAGGTGTGTGTATATATGTGTGTGTGTTATATATTTCTCTTTATAAAAGCTTGAATGTAGAGAACTCTCTACTCAGAATTGGTTTTTGATCTTTGAAAGGATGCGTGGACCCCCTGGTTGCACTGCATTCAACCAAGTTGTGGTGGGTGCTACCCTCTCGAAGCTCTGGCTGGGAGCTTGCCAGTGTGCACTTGTGTTGTGAGTATAAGGATGATGCAGCAATCTGAGGGGAGTGAGAGGTGAGTTGGGACCAGAGGTGGCTATAAAGAGCAGCATGGCATTTGGTGCAGAAGCCACTGTCCCAGGCTCCCTTTCCTAGGTGCCCCAGTGCATGTCAGATGTAAAGTGGCTCTATGCTGCCTAAAGGACCAAGCCCCAGTTGGCCTTCTGCTTGATACATCCTAAGGAGTTAAAAAATGCCACTGACTCACCAAGATAAAAAAAAGAAAAAGAGTCCGTTTACCCCCTCACCAGTCTTTGGCTTTATTCATTACCCCTTCAAGTTAGAATGCATTAAAGGCTTGGGGAGCCTGGGTGGTTCAGTGGGTTAAACATCTGCCTTCGGCTCAGGTCATGATCCCAGGGTCCTGGGATTGAGCTCCACATCGGGCTCCCTGCTTGGCGGGAAGCCTGCTTCTCCCTCTCACACTCCACCCCTGCCTATGTTCCCTCTCTCTCTCTCTCTGTCAAATAAATAAAATCTTTAAAAAAAAATAGAATGCATTAAGGGCTGTCCTCCTGCCAGAGTGACCTCCAATTATTCCCATAATTGCCACTGTTGTTCAGCAGGGGGACTAACAAGTTGGCCATTCATGCTGTCATTGTATGTCCTACCTGCCCTATTGAAAACTTTTTGAGATTTGCCTGTAAACTGCTAGTGCTTTTAAAGATTTTTACTCTATTTTTACATTCCATTTATCATTTCCATGGGAATCTTTTTTTTTTTTAAAGATTTTTATTTATTTATTTGACAGAGAGACACAGCAAGAAAGGGAACACAAGCAGGGGAAGTGGGAGAGGGAGAAACAGGCTTCCCGCTGAGCAGGAAGCCAGATGCGGGGCTCGATCCCAGGATATTGGGATCATGACCTGAGCCGAAGGCAGACACTTAACGACTGAGCCATCCAGGTGCCCCTTTCCATGGGAATCTTGAAGGAAGGTAGATGCTTGTGCTTGTGCTGCCAATTTACCAGGAAGTCAATAAGTTCTTATTAAAGACCTCCTATGGACTATGTGGCCAGATATTATTTTATTATGCATTTTAAAAATAGAACTGCTTCTTCCTGCTTTTGTTACAGAATTATTTTGTCAATCTAGATGTCAACCAAAGACTGCAGTTCAAAACAAGTAGCTATTTCAAATAAAGATTACAATAAAACATTACGATATCGACCATGTAAATATTGATGGAGATGGACATAAGCTCCTCCAAGGGTTTGAATACTGATCGAAAATGTCTATTTGTCTACATAACATTTCAGTGGAGGCAGTATAATAGAACATACCATAGTTTTGTTATAGTTAGCAATAAACAACTGAAAGATAAGATGCTGATTCAGACATTTAACCACGGTTTCCTGTGATGGTTAGGTTCTAACTCAAAGTTGAAAATAAATGTTACATATTAAGAAAAGCTCTCATCTACCCTATTTTCAAATGAATCCACATTGAAAGACGATTTAGACAACAATTACTTAATACTTAGCACAGAGAAAATCTGCATTTAAATGAACTGCTTTAAATAATAATGTGGTACCAGCATCAGCAGCACCGCAGCACCGGCAACAGTAATGTCCATTTATGGAACATCTTCCACTACCAGGTGCTTAGTTAGCTACTTTACAAGTATCTCAATTTGATTCCCCAATCCTGCCACTTCAGATATTATGAACTCCATGTTTTCTTTCTTTTTTTTTTTTTAAAGATTTTATTTATTTATTCACGAGAGATGGAGAGAGAGAGAGAGAGAGAAGCAGAGAGAGAAGCAGGCTCCCAAGGAGCAGGGAGCCTGATGAGGGACTTGATCCCAGGACCCTGGGATCATGACCTGAGCCGAAGGCAGACGCTTAACCATCTGCGCCACCCAGGCGCCCTCCACTTTTCCTTTTTTTTAAAGATTTTATTTATTTATTTGACAGAGAGAGACACAGCGAGAGAGGGAACACAAGCAGGGGGAGTGGGAGAGGGAGAAGCAGGCTTCCTGCCGAGCAGAGAGCCCGATGTGGGGCTCGATCTCAGGACCCTGGGATCATGACCTGAGCTGAAGGCAGACACTTAACAACCAAGCCATCCAGGTGCCCCCTGAACTCCACTTTTAATATGAGGAAAGAGAACCAGAGATTAAGTAATTTGCCCACTTAAGTCAGATGGCTAATTGTGATGCTCCCTGGGGCACCTCCAGGGATCATCAGGGGTTCAGTAGAGCACTGTTTCCGTGGGTTCAAACTGCTCCTCCAGGCTGCCTCTAGGATTCACATACTTTTCCACTGCTAGAGGTATCCTGATGAGAGCTGGATGGCCAGGTTTGCAAGGCTGTAGAAAGCATTCATGTTCTCTGTGATCCTACTTCTAGGTTAAGTTGGGATTTATAAACATCCCGAAGATGGATGCAAATGTGTATAATTGCCCATGTCTGGGAACAGGGCTTTTGTGAGATTTCAGTGGAGGCCACCATCCAAAAAAGGTTCAGAATTGTCTCCTAGATATTCCCCAGAGACTGGTTTTAAGCTATAACACCCAAGAAATCTGATTCTCATTTCTGAGGAAATCCCAGAGTGTCCTCATTCTAAGAAGAAAGTAGAGGCAATTACCCAAGAGAAAATTCCAAACTGTTACTTGAGATAAGCAGACAGTCACACCAAAGGAAATGAGGTTAGAGACTGTAGCTGAATTATCTACCTCATGGTAGTGATTTTCTGCTTTTCATTATATATAGAAAAAAGCTACTGCATAAAGAGAAAGAAAAACGAGCTGAGTTTATCTGAATTATCAAACATAAAAAGACAGGTCATAAAAATTATAAAAGTACTGAGAATATGTGCCAATATTAGCAATTATATTTCTAAATAAAAAGATAACGTAGTTTGCTAGTCTAAACAGCAGACTAGGTACAATCTATGACAGATAAAAAGTGCAGATGGAATTTTTCACTTTTCTTCCAAAGAAGTTCTGCTGAATTTCAAATATTTTCTTTGAATAATCATGTATGACAAATGTAAAGGTTAATGTTAGCAAGGTAATTAAAATTAATGATGGCAACGTCCGCTGGGCTATGTGTGTGTGTGTGTGTGCAGGTGTTTCCCTCACTGTTCTACCCTCACTTAAAAATGTCTAATATATAAAATTCTGAGCATACACATAATACATTAGAACTGATTATTTTCATCTACCCTGAAACCTACAGAATTTCTTTACATAGTTCTTATAGGGTTTTTGAAATGTAATTTGATTTTTTAAATGTAATATATTATACAAAATTAAGAAAAAAAAAAACACCTCACTGCAGAAATTGAACAGATACTGTTAGAGGCATGGTTTCCAATCCTCTTTCTGTAACACAGTTTTGAAGTAAAAAGTTACCCCCAAAGGGTCTTTGAATATTATCCTCTACAAAGCCAAACCATTTCACTACCCAGGATCTGACTCAAAACTTACTTGGATACTTTGTTAACACAGAATTTCATTTGTACTTCTCCACATTTATATTTATAGATATTTACTATCTGGTCCCCAGCACAGGGAAGACTGAGGGTGGCAAACCAGGGAGAGTGGAATGAGAGATGCCAGCACAAAGACAACCAGCAGATGGACTGACATCAAGGGGACAGACAGAAGAACAGAGAAAAAGGGAGTCCAAATCCATGAAGAGGCAAAAGTGCTGGGAGACAGGAGGAGGGAAGGACGGAAACATCCAATCATTTAAGCTCTCCCGAAGGGTCTCCCTGTCTGGTGGGATGTTGGAAGTTACTCAGCCAGTTGCCCTGCTTCTCTTTCTAGCCCTGTGCTGACTCTGGGGGTGTCCAGCGACAGATCATGCAGTTCTTTTAAGAGAGGTATTCTCTTGGCCCTGGCTTAGGAGTAAATGCCTGAGCCAGCAGCTCTGATGAGGAGGGAACTGCTTCAGCTATTCCACGGTCCTTTAATTAATTACCGTGCCTACTGCCCAAGGGTCTGTTCCTAGTTTTCCCTGCCTGCGATCCTGGAAGTTTTCTCATGGTTCTACTTAACTTACTGTTTCAGCAGTTTTGTCATTCATCTTTATTGTGTTTTGGGGTTTTTTGCTCAGCTGGGCTGTACCTTCAGTTTTATTCCATCTGTTATATATTATTCAAAAATTCCTCAATGTGGGTTCTAACCTTTCACGTTTCCAGTGTTGTTGTGGATTTATTTTTCTATTTATTCTTTCATTTCAAGAGACTTTGGATGGAAGTAGAGTTAAAAACATGTCTTAAGCAGCCAACTTCTCTTCGAAGCCATTTCAGGCACTTAAAGTAAATATTCTCCCCCTAAAATTAGTGTATTTATCGATTAGCTATTAATTTTACTGTAGGCAAACCAACACATTTAACAAAACTAAACTGTCAAGCTTGAAATTTCCTTTTGTTCTATTAAATACATTACTAAAAAAAAAAAAGTGAAAAATTGCATAAAACTTACAATCCATGTCAAGTATGGCCCGAACAGATTTAACAAGTTCCTTAGATTCAAGAGCCAGCGTTGCTGGGATATTACGTCCATTCCTTCCCAGTGGTGTAAGGGAAGTCTGAGAAGCTAACATAGCTCTTCTTTCACTGTGGGGGCAATAACATAAAGTTGAACTTATCATACAATAAATAACATCTATCTTGGCTTAATGTGAATTCTTATGTACAAAAATATTTGTATTTCTGGGAATAGTGTATTCTTACAGCCATAAAATGAAGTAATCACAAAACATTTGTTTTCGGTTCTTTATTATGTAACAAAGACATATTTAAAGAATTAGATTGACCTCATAATAAGGAGGAATAAATCATTTGTTGGGCTTATTTTGTGAGTGCTCATGTTATGCTAACAAGATGTAGCCTTTTATTTAGTTTTGTAAAAATTCAAATGAAGCACTTAAACATAAATTTATTAAATGGACATTTACTATTACTTCTTATAATATTAAATATAAATTTGATATGTATATTTGCTCCTGAAATTACCTTTTTTGAATTTTGTTTGAACTGAAATGATCTCTTAAGCTCTTCCATTTGTTGTCCCCTAAATCTAAAACAGCCTAGAGCATTTATATCACTTTGTGAAGATGCAAATGTCACCTGAAATGAATGTGCTCTGGTGTAATTTAAAATGCAAGGTTTTACTGCAAAAAAACCATTACATTGAAACTTTTACTTGAAAAGAGACAATTTTAAACTGATAACGAAAACATTATTATTTGTAATCCATCTTCATAAGCATGATGGTATTAATTCACAAGGAGAAACTAAAGCATCAATTCTCAAATTCAAATACAGGGCCTTTATTCTGTGTTGAATGACCAAGGTCAAAATTTATTACAGAAGACATAGTATGATAAAAAGACTGAACCAGATTTTCCTAGAGTTTAAGTTTCCAAGATGTGGTGAAAAGTTGCTTAATGTAGTTTTTCAAGGTAACCCCTTTTCCATGAACCAGGTTCTGGCTTTTAAATAGTCATTTTTGACCTTTATTTTTAATACCAAAACTTCTGATTTATTATTCAAGGGCACAATGAAACCTAGAGGGTGGGAATGGGGGACACACAACCACACAAGGGGAATCTGGTTGCTGAGTATTTTAAATTCTTACTGAAAATATTATCACAAAAGTCACATAATTATCTTACATCATCAGTAGCATGGATAGCAATAAAATGTCAGATCTTTCATTAGAATAAAGCATTACAGTGAGTTTGAAAGTGTACTACTATCACATAACGTATAGAATGATCAAATTACAATGTTGTATACCTGAAACTAACAGAATATTGTGTGACAACTACATTTCAATAATAAAATTATTTTTAAAGTGTACTACCATAGACATTCTTCTAAAGTAAAAAAAAAAAGCCATGTGGAACCCTAAAATATAATAAAATACAATGAATCATCTTCATTTATTAAACTGCTGTTTTCATAGTAAAGGGCAGAGTTTTCCTGTTTCTGCAAGAGTGTATTGCTAGAAGTAGAAATACATTGCTAACAGCAGCTATTCTAAGATGAGGGAAAAAACTGCTTTGAAAATGTATAAGCAGGAAACTTTCTTTTGTCTTTCATTATGTATCAAAATGACCATAAACTTGCAGTCTGAAATACATAAATGTTACTAGTAAGTTTGTAGCTCTTAGTAAGAAACTTTAAATTTGAAACAAATTGTGAATAATAACAAAACCAAGGTGTATCCTCCAAATGTATTCCTTTTATTTGTGTCTACTGAACGTTGAAAATGAAAGAAACTGATTGCATGAACATGTTTTTATAAAATTCTGTTTGCCATAACAATTGATCTGCTGGCTTGAGACTGACCTTTCAAGTAATTTTTATTCATACACAGGATGCTTAGAAACTTCAAGGTAATCCCATCTTTACAGAACTCCTGACAAAAATGAGATAGGTGATTCCTACCCTCAATTTTAGAGTACTAGGTTACAGTGACTGGCTACCCTCCAGGGATTTCTCTTACAGAGATGGGGTCAAAAACAACATGTCCTTGTATCTCTTTCCACAAAATAGGGGGAAAAAAAGCATCCAGTAGGAGTTATGTAGCATCTTAAGGCTATTTAAGAGATTTTAGTATTTTAATCACAATTACCAAATGAAAAATGTAATCATACTCTACAGAAAACACTTAAATATTCCTACCTTAAATTTGATAAAGGAGAAGAATTATCAGAAAATAATTCTTGAATAGTCTAGAGACAAACAAAACAGTAAAGGAGATTGTAAGTTTGATATTTTTAAGATGTCTTTTCTTACTTAACTAATATTTATAACCTCCCCCCTCCTCCCACTCCCAATTGATTAAAAGGTGTTTCTGTTACATGAGGGAAAAAAATCAATTACATTGACATGGAACTATACTCAGATGTGTAATAGCTATGGGAACATTTCTTTATAGGGTAATTATTTATCAAATAATGTTTATATAGTATTAAGAGTTTTGAGAAAGTATTCATTGAAACATAGCATATATTTGGGATCATGTTATCCTATCTCAATTATTTCTCTTAACAATCTATTGCTTAGCTGGTCTTTTCATTATCTATGCAATTTTAAACCTGACTATAGGTTAGCATTGCTATTTTGAGCCAGAGAATGTTTCATTAGTCACCAAATACTAGGACATTTATCTATATGTCAGTCATCTACAGATTTCTTAAAAATGGACATAAAATAATATAATGGGAAAATTTACCTCTACAAAATGAAGAAGCTTTTCAGTGGATGCCTCCAAAGTTTTTCGAGCCATTTCCGATTTTCGCAATTGGCAGTCGAGTACTGTAATTCTCTTTCTTAACTCTTGAAAACCTTCCTGGACAGAGGTATCAAAAGGAAGGTCTTACTCATTTCTTTGATTTTTACATCAGTGGCTCCTATTTGCAGTTTTTATTAACTGATATCCAACATTACCATATTATTTGTTTTCTCTTACCGTATGTATCTTCTAATTTGGGTAGGCATTTAACTAATTGCATATTTAAAAGTTAAACTGCACAGAGATGTTGCAAATTTTATGAGATAAGCTGTATATGACTTTGTTGATTCTTATAGCAAAATACATTTAAATTGAGTATATGATTTTTTTTTTTTTTTTTACAATATGGCTTGCCAGCTGCTGACAGAAATTGCTACCAGTGGGGTACAACAAAAATTGCTGAAGATATACATATATTTAATGTAATATGATGCAAATATGATCCAATGTAAGGCTAAGCTGGCAGGGAAGTAAAGGGTTCCCATGGACAGTAAAGGAATTCCATGAAGACAAACAACAATAATGCTGGCTAAACTCACTCATAAGAGTACAGTGCAGCATAATTTGTTCTGAGGTTCTAATGGGTGAATTAGAAAGAAACAAACCTTACAGAAGTAAATACATGATTTTGATTTTGGTTCTGGCAAGTGGGTTAAAAAAAGTCTCCCCTATAACTTCTAATCACAAGCCCCCACTCATGAAGGTTTGAGGGCATAATTTGTATTACCCATGTATCCTGTAAATTTATAAGCTGAAATTTAAGTTTAAAACAGTCCCTGAATGGTAGAAGCAAACACAAAACTTCTGTGGAGGGATATTTTCTAAACTCAGATTCCAAAGAATTCATACATATAATGTGTCAAAAGAACATGACCTCAGGAAATAAGCTACCATGAATAAAAGTCAGCTGAAGGAAACAAATCACAGGATCAGACCTATAAAGACAAGAGATACTGGAGTGATAAGATACAGACTATACTGTTTAATGTTTTAAAAATTAGGGAAGAATTTAAAACATAACAAGGGGAAAAGAAACTATAAAAATAGATCTACATGACATAAAAGAATCAATCTTAAAAATAAAAATATAATCAAAATTAAATTAAAAACTAATTCACGGGTTTAATATCTAATTAGATATAGTTGAAAAGAGAATGGGTAAACTGGAAGGCAGAGGTAAAGAAGGTTCTCATAATGCAGCAGAAAAATAAAAATGGAAAATATAAAAGAAGGGAGAAGAGGTAAGGAGAATATAACTAGATGAAGATCTGGCATACACCCCATGTGAATTACCCATGAGGGTTCAGAAAGAATGAAGAAGAAACTGCTCAGTATAACAGTTTGGGGTTTTTCCGAAATAACAAAAGACACCGTTCCTCAGATCAGGAAGCTCAGTGAAGCTCAAACAACATAAATAAAAATAAGTCAACACAAGAGTCATAGTCAAATGCTGAACATTGAAAATAAAAAGATCTTAAAATCATCTAGAAAGAAACAACGTATTGCAAACAAATAACAGATTGACTGCTGATATCACAACCATGAAATAAACACTGAAAGGAATTAAATGTCAACTTAAGTTAAAAGTAGCAAAAGTGTATTTCAAGAGCAAAAGTTCAATAAAGATGTTTTCAGACAAACAAAACTGAAGAGAATTTGTTACCAACAGATCCTCATTAAATACATTTCTAAAACATGTACTTCAGGAAGGAAATAATTTTAGCAAGAAGGTCAGAGATGCAAAAAGAATGCTGAACGTAGAAAATGGTAAACATGGGCATCTATTTAAACAAAGGTTGACAGCACAAAATAAATTGTAATAGTGTCTAACTTATGGTGTTAAAAGTCAAGAAAGAACTAAAATACTGACAAAAATAGAAATTAAGTAGGACGGGATGATAGGATTTATGTTCTAAAGTGCTTATAATATTTAGAAGAAGGGGAAAGCTAGTGATTAGTTTTATAATTTAAGCTAAAATAGAATGTTAAAATTTCTAAGATAATCATTAAAAATTAGAAATAGAGCGCATACCGTCTAAAATAGAAGGAAACAAATGGAATGGGAATTGGGGAACATAGGAGAAATCTGAACCAATTAAAAAAAAAAAACAGGCAAGAAATGACAACTAAAAAAACAACCAAAAAACAGAGGACACATAAGATGCATAAATTAAAAGGGTGTAAATGAAGCCAAGAGCATTAGCAAATAAAAAAGTATAAATGGAAAGATCTTTCCAATTAAAGATAAAAAATTAGTAAGATAAGGAAAAGATTCAGTTATATGTTGTTTACCACATATACAATTAAAACATAAGGACACTGAAGAGTTAAAAGTAAAAGAAAGGAAAACACACACAGGTAAATACCAGAAGAAAGCTGTTGTAACTATTTTAATATCAATCAAAAATAAATATTAGGGGGAAAAGAAGATTGCTAAATTGAAAAGTCACAACATTCCATAAAGGATGATAATGTAATTCTAAGCTTGTATGCTGCTAAAAATATTACTTCAAAATATATAAATTAAAAAAAATGGGAGATTTTAATGCATTCCTCTGACAAGGAAATTAAGATGATTAAAGAAGAACTGAACTCCACAATTAATGACCCTGATCTAGTAGATTATAGAAAATGATACATCAAAAAACTGCAGAATTTTTTTCAAGCTCACTTTGAACATGTGCAAACACTAGCCATACAGTAAACCGTAAAGCAGCCATCAACAAATTTTAGAATTATCATGCTATAGACTAGATTCTCTGGTCACGATGCAATTAACCTTTCTGTGCCTCACTGGTGTTTATTAATAAAGACTCAATCATAAATATGTAAATTTTTCCCCAATTAATCTATATATTTAATGCATTTTCAGTAAAAATTCCAATAGTTTTTTTTTCCCTTTTGGTTGAATTTATAAGCCAAGTCTAAAATATATATAAGAGATCAAAGGGTCATGCAGCCAACATACTTCTAAGAAAAAGAACTAGGCAGGGTGATCAGATATCAAGACTTATTGTAAAAGATACAGTAAGATATATTATTGGCATGAATATACAAATAGACCAATGAAAGAGAATAGAGGGCCCTCAGGAAGATAGACACACATGCAATCTTGATTTATGACAGAGCTGATTTGTAGATCAATTAGGAAAGAAGAGACTTTTGAATAAATAGTGCTGGGATAGTTGGTCATTCACTTAGAATAAAGAAATAATAATATGGATCCCCACCCTCACATAACACCACAAAACCAATGACAGAAGGATCAAAACTTTACAATTTCTATTTTTTTAAAGATTTTGTTTATTATTTGAGAGAGAGACAGAGAGAGCATATGCAGGAGTCAAGGGGAGGGGCAGAGGGAGGAGACTCCCCACTGAGCAGGGTGCTAAACACAGGGCTCAACCCTGGGACCCTGACATCATGACCTGAGCTGAAGACAGACAGTTAACCAACTGAGCCACCCCAGGCACCTCCAAAACTTTAAAACTTTCAGAGGCAAATATCAAAGATCTTTGGGAATGGAAGACCTTCTAAAAAGACACATGAGGGAAAGGACTGGTAAGTTCGACTATATGAAAATCAATGTTTATTTTACCATTGGGTGAAAAGCAAGCCATAAATTTCAGAAAAGACTTCAATAACATATAACTGAATATAGGGTTAGCAACTGGAACATACGTACAATCCCTAATATCAATATGAAAAGAATAACCCAATGGAAAAAATGGTTGGAGTAACGAAGAGGCATTTCACAAAGAAACACAAATGCCTAACAAGTACATAAATATATGCGCAACTGGCTATCTGGGCCAGAGGTACCCTGGTTTATAGCACTTGGGGGTGTAAATAACTCCACCATGTCTGATTGAAGCTACCAACCTGATGTCGCTGAATATGCAGTTAAGAAGAGATGCACACAATCCCCCATTGTGAGCCAGTGCCTGCTGGTCCCAGCACACCAATGGCTCCAAGTCAGGGAAAAACCAAATGAAATCCAAATGAAACCCAATGAGATTTACTTATCACACCTACCAGATTTATATAAATTAAAAGTAAACGAAAACAGTGTCAGCAAGGGTGTGGGGTGAATAGTATCTCTCATTCACTACTGGTGGGAGTAAAAATTGGTTCAAAAACTTTCAAAAACAATTAGGCATTACCTAGTAAAATTGATTGATCATCGTTCAGTCTAGCAGTTCCACCCTAAGATATGAACCCAAGACAAACTGTTATGCATGCAGAGCATGATACATGTACAAAAGTGTTTTTTAGCAACATCGTTCATAATAAAGAAAACAGAAACAATTGGACTGTTCATCAAAGGATGGGCAAATATACTGTAGTATATCCATTTAAGGGAGTACAAAAGAGCGATGAAAATACATGAACTGGCTATAAATTTCAAATAGATGAATTGCAAAAATAAAAGGTTCAGTGAAAAAAGCAAGTAGGAAGAATACATGCAGGACATTTCTATTTATATAAAGTTGATAAACAGGCAAGATTCAACAATATTTATTTTTATTTTTTTTTAAAGATTTTATTTATTTATTTGACAGAGAGAGACAGTGAGAGAGGGAACACAAGCAGGGGGAGTGGGAGAGGGAGAAGCAGGCTTCCCGCTGAGCAGGGAGCCCGATGCGGGGCTTGATCCCAGGACGCTGGGATCATGACCTGAGCCGAAGGCAGACGCTTAACGACTGAGCCACCCAGGTGCCCCAGCAATATTTATTTTTAAGAGATATAAAGATATGTGGTAAAATTATCAAGAAAATGATTAATACTAAATCTAGGAAAGTGGTTACTTCTGAGCGTGAGGGAGGGGAATGCAACTGGGGAGGGACACTGGATCTTCAAAGGTGTTGGTAATGTTTTATTTCCTAAGCTGGGGGTAAACAGAAAAAACAAAAATAAAAAAGGTAAGTAAGTATAGAGATGAGATAAGGGAAAACTTAGTGAAAAATAAAAACATTGTTAGAAAAAGAATCTGTGTCTTAAAAATGAATATTTGAATCTGAGTTCTCTAATATCTTCATCAATGTCTCTTGAAGCAATCTCAAATAACTGAAAAAAAAGTTTCCTTTTCTTTCTCCACTGGCATTAAGTTTGGGAAATGTTGAGATGCTCTCGTCTAATATTTTTTCTTTAGAAAATAAACAAACAGAGATGCCTGGGTGGCTCCGTCAGTCAAGTGTCTGCCTTTGGCTTGGGTTGTGATCCCAGGGTCCTGGGATCAAGTCCCACATTGGTCTCCTTGCTCAGCGGGGACCCTGCTTCTCCTTCTGCCCCGCTGCTCCCCCAGCTTGTGCTCTCTCTCTCTCTCTGACAAAGAAATAAATAAAATCTTGAAAAAAAAAAAAAACCAAAACAGGGCGCCTGGGTGGCTCAGTCGTTAAGCGTTTGTCTTTGGCTCAGGTTGTGATCCCAGGGTCCTGGGATCAAGCCCTGTGTCAGGCTCCCCACTCAGCGGGAAGCCTGCTTCTCCTTCTCCCACTCCCCCTGCTTGTGTTCCCTCTCTTGTTGTGTCTCTCTCTGTCGTCAAATAAATAAATAAAAATCTTAAAAAAAAAAAGAAAAGAAAACAAACAAAAGATTGCTTTTTCAGAGACAGGATAAGGGCTTAGCTTAGAATCTTATTAGGAGGAATGGCATGAGACACCATTATGCTAAAAAAGAGAAAAACTGAATTAATTATATTGCCAGACAACTTAGGACAAAAATGTGTCTCAGCTAGGAGCTGGGACAGAGAATTGCAAATAAACTATGCTTTACAAAAAAAAAAAAAAGAATAAATTCATGAGAACTCTGAATATTACTTAGAAAGTATTTTTAAAGACTGTTGATTATCCCTCCAAAAGTACATAGAGTTTATAAAACAGTACTTTAAAAATTTTTTTAATTTATTTTTTTTGGAATTTCATTAATTTCATTTTATTTATTTATTTATTTTTAGTGTTTCATCTATTCATTAGTTGCATATAATACTCAGTACTCATCCCAACATTGCAGCAACTTTTTTTCAGGACATGTTTCCAAAGGCAAGGAAACAAAAGCAAAACTGAACTTTTGGGACTTCATCAAGATAAAAAGTTTTGCACAGCAAAGGAAACAGTACTTTTGATATTTTGATAATTCCCATTATTTTCAGAATCATGTTAAAGTTACTCACATGAAATAAGCATATATCTCTGATTTCAGAATGTAAATACTGGGCCAAAAATAAATGTAGATAAAAATATGTAATATTTTTAAGTATTGCTGCCTTTTCAAGTAATACAATTTTCCCTTGGCCTGTATATTATCAAAGGGTGACAAGAATATCAGCTTTCTTTTGGAATTGGTTTAAATGGGCAGATGTGAGAAATGTTAGTGATTCTTAAGAGCTGACCAAAGAAAATTTCAGATTTTCTTCTGTATTTTGCTTTTCTAAAACTGGTTTCATTTCCATCTGTTGTATTTAAGGTATTTAACTGTTTTATACTTATATAAAGAGACATAAAGTGTTCAAATTTGCTTTATGTTTTCTTGAAAGTTGACTGGATTAGAGACATAAATACCTATTCTAAGTGAACTCGTTAAAAGTTATAAAATATGTATTTCAATTTACTTAATTTTCTACCTCAGTGAAATAAAAATGTATATGTCTATTATAGTTTTTGAAGACCTTTCAATGAATATAGTATGTATTATGTTATAAAAAAAATCACAAACTAAAAAATTTCACATAAAAAAGATCACATTGCCTTCTGAACAGCATTTGGTCTTTTGCCATTGAAATTAGAACCTATTAAATTCAAACTCAGTTTCTTTCTATTAACTACCTTGGGCCCTGGGCAAAAATTATTTAACATTCACACTTCCTTGAGTGTTCTAATCAAAGAGCAAAACCCATCCCTAGACTCTCCTCCTCTCATCCCCACCAGGCAAATTAGCAAGTTTAGGAACAAAAGGAGAAAACCAATGTAATCAATTAAATGTTAAATAGTTCCAGGACTTAATGCCTGAGCTGTACAATGTTGACCAATGACCCAAATAAATATGGGGCACATGCTTTTCCATCCCCAAGCTATGTGGATAAAGGGAGGCTCACAACCTTCGCATGACCTACCCCCCCATCCCATCACGACACATCATCCTATCATTGAATAATAGAAGACAAACACTGACCTAGTTTAGAAGTGCAGATGAAAAGGAAATGAAAACAGGATACATGACAACGGCAAGGAAACCATGGTAACTAAAAGAGAGGATGGTTTTGCTTACTTTATTTTGGTCGGAATAATCAGCAAGCTGAGCCTTTAGATCTGTGATCTCGGCCTCTAACAGATGGATCACTTCTTCATAGTCCATTTCCATTCCATGTGCCTGGCGCTGTGCAGCCTCAGCCAGGTGGATTCGACTTCGCAGGGCTCTGGTTTCTTCAACCACAGCTTTGGCTTCCTGAGGATTTCAAAATTCAGGCCGTTGAAAAAAAGCCATGTTAAAAAACAGTTCGGCAAAACAGTTGAAACAAAATCTTTTCCTTCCTCTGGAAGTTATAATTCCCAAACTTAATCAATAGACATGTGCCCCTCACATCTCAATTTAAAACTTAGTAGTCACGTTATTATGCAGAGCAAACGCCTGATCTTACTTTTCCTCTGTCGATTTCTTGGATAATTTTCAGTATGGAATCTCCAACTTCACACACCTAGCATAACATTTTGGAAATAAGGGAAGCAAAAGGGAGTTGGAAATGGAGAACAGAAGAACAGTTTCAAAAGATAGAAAGAGTAGACCTCCACGGAACTCAGGTAGGTGGTAGGGCTCATGTTCTAGGAAGATTCTTGCAGCTTCAAATACAGCTGAGAGATTTGCAGTGTTGTGGACTTCCTTGTGGTCCAAGCCTAGGATCCAAAGCTTATTTCTAGACATGAGTCTGTTACATCCCCCTTTTGATTTACAATGGCAAGGCCTCTGGTATCCTGTGAGTCTTAACACATGAAAATCCTTTTGAAACCTCCCTTTTCCTTACCTCCCCCAACTCCCAAGTATATAATTGGCCATTCCTCACAACCCCGGGGCAGCAGCTCTTTCTGCCCATGGGTCCTATCCCCGTGCTTTAACGACTGAGCCAGCCAGGCGCCCCTCTATCCCCGTGCTTTAAAAAAACCCCACCATTTTGCACGCACCCCCAAAAAAAGCCAAAAGGTGGAATTCAGTAGCAAAATATCTAGCTATTTCTATAGGGTGCAATGCTCACATTTATTAAACATGTTATATCTTAGATGATTCATGTGTCCTCTCTCATTTAACCTTTAGAACAACATCAAGAGAGAGTCATTATTAAAAACCATTTTATACATAATTAAACAGAGGCTCGGAGAGGTTACATATCCTGTCCAAGGACACATAGCAGTAAAAAAGTTTAAACCCAGGTCTGCCGAACTCCAACATGAATGCTCTTTTCACCATTTTACTCTGCTACTAAATGACAAAACAAATAAAACTATATGCTAGCTACACTCTCTAGCTTAGGAAGAGGATGGGGTGACCAAAATCCCTTGTTCCTTCAAAATGTGCTTTGGTGATAGGTCAACCACAATCCCCTAAGGATACCGATATAATTTAGCATGGCAGTTATTATACTGTAAACCACTTCTTTCTCTTTACTTGATGCAGAAATCTTTTTTTCTACAATGGAACTTTCTGCTCCAATTGCCATGGCTAATATTCAACTATGGCTGTTTTAATTTTCTTGGAGCTATTATAGGACGCTTGCTTTTGTTTGAGTCTAAATGCATTTGAAATGGAGAGTTAGGAATATGGACATATTTTTAAGGGTCAATTTTTCATTCATACATTCAATAAATGTTTATTAAGTACTTACTATGTGTCAGGTTCTGTTTCAGGTACTGAGGACAGAGCACCTAACAAAATCGACAAAAACTCCTCCTTCATGCCCTTCCCTGCCCTGAATTTACATTACAGTTTGGGGAGACAGACAGTAAATTAGGGATTATCAGTGAAGATCTGCCTGAGAAGATATTTAATCAGAGACTCGCAGGAAGCATGGAGCCATGAAGATTTCCCAAGGAGCTTTTTGGGCTAAGGGAACAGTTTGTGCAAAGGTCCTGAGATGGAACTGTTCCTTGCATCTTTAAAGAACAGCAAGGAAGCCTGTGTGGCATTAAGTAGACAGTGGTAAGGGATAGGAAGAAGGGAGTAGTGGGAAATGAAGAGTAAGGGCAGGGATCAGGTTGGGGTGGAGTGGCAGATCTTAAGAGGCTTTGAAGGCCATCATAAAAACTGGTTTTACTCAGGGTGAGATGGGACATTACTGGAGGGCTTGGAGCAGAGAAATGATTATTATCTGACTTAAATTTATAAGTGGATTACTCTTGCTGTTGGGTTGAGAGTAAACTGCAGGGGGTGGGCAAGTGTGGAGCAGGGAGAAGGGGACAGGCATACAAACTGTGTGGTGTGAACAAGGGTGAGAGTGTTGGAGATGGTGTCAAGTGGTTAGATTCTAAATACAGTTGGAAAGTGCAGCTAACGGAAGACTTCATCATCATTCACAACATTTACTTAGCAGCTAGTGCATCTACATAATCATATTATAGGATAAAAGATACCTTCCCTTCGCTGGCTCCATTCAGAACATTAAGTATGCCTTAGATAAGTGGAAGAACAGAGTAGCGCATGACAGACAGAAAGAACAATGTGAACAACGGAAGAGAAGACAAGAAGGAATGTGGTACATTTGAGAAATGCATTAGATCAATTTTGACTGGAGTCAGTGCTTCCTGGGAGAACAATGGATAAAAGAAAAGCTGAGGAGAGACAGGGAAAGAGCCAGGCTTTGGTAGAAATGGCATGACAGGCAAAAGGGCTTGTATAGGTAAATCTTCAGGCCTTTTGAGCAGAAATTGACGTGAGAACAGAGTGCTGTGGAAAGCTAAATCTAACAGGAGGGTTCAGGATGGAGAGATGTGGCCAACCAATGGCCTCCTACACCTCTGATTCAAAGGGCTTGATTTCAGCCCCAGGAACAAAAGGCACAGCCCAGGGGAATAGAATCAATGGCATCACAACAGTGTTGCCTGGTGACACACACTAACTACACTTGTGGTGAGCACAGCCTAACTGTAGCTGTTGAATCGCTGGGCTGTACACCTGAAACTAAGGTAACATTGCATGCCCACTATACTCAGATAAAAACAACACCACCACCAACAAAAACCCAAGGAACTTGATTTCCTTATCTTTAAAACCAGTGGTCTTCTCATCAAAGGGTACTGTTAGAAAGAAATACCTGGGGAAATAGAAGAACATTTACCAAGCCACATCAGTTGGTTCAGGCCAGGTGACCGTGTCATGAGTGTGTCACAGCTTGCTCAACTTCATGTCAGACCGCGGCTGTGCATACAGGAGGGAAATGGTTGCTGGCACCACTTCAAATGCTTTACAGGGACCAGCTCAGTTAATCCACACACTGCCGTGTGAAGCATGTCTATTCTTATACTCATTTAATAGGTGGAAAACTGAAGCACAGAAAGGTCAAGTAACTTGCTCAGAATCACAGACCAAAAAGTGGCTGGCCTAGGATTTGAACCCAGGCAGTATAATCCCAAAGTTCATGCTCACTTGGCTACGACACCATACTGTCTCTCCAACTACAGAAAATGATTAAAAAAAAAAAATCACTCGTAGATGACAGTATCATCAGTGCCCAAACCCACACGAGCTTAGGATGCGGCCATGAAAATACACTAAAATATCTTCGAGGCTGCTACACCGTTCCCCATTTTCCATTCACTCAGGCTAGAAAAAAATATATTGCCGCTGAAGAGAAAGAGGAAGGGCAGAGAATTCTCTATAGCTGCGATAAATAATAACTAATTTGATGATTTGTCTCCTTCACGCTCACTTCATGCAGCTTTTATTCCTCTATAAAAACAGCACTTTTATTTTTGTTCAAAGAATGCTAGTTAATTAAACGAAGAATCTGGATGGAATTTATATAGCCATGATAGTTCACTGATGGTAATACAGTGTGAAATGCGGTTGGGTGGTAAAGGATGCAGAGGTTTTGATGCTGAATAAATTCATGCTATTTCTTTTGTCAATGTATAACTGTCAGGTTGGTAAATGTGACCCCTCAGCAAAGTTCTAGCCCAATTCCCACTGAATGGCTGTTTAGAAGATTAGTGCATTGAAATGATGACTTTTAGAGGAAGCAGTAAAAGAGATGGCAGCAGCGTGCTGTATTTAGCAATGCAGGATCACATAAATCCATTTTTTTCTTTTCCTCCCGGGTCATCTTCTAATAAATAACTGTAAAGCCTCCTATGTCAGTAACAACTGAGCCAGAATTTTCTGAGTACCTCACATGAGCCCGAAATCCCACTGGGGTAAATGCTGCAGCCAGTTCACTGCATTACTTTGTATTAGGTACAGATGAATTCAGTTTAGAAAGTTAGAAAATAAAAGAGAAACCAAGATGCAATAGCAATCAGAAAAATCAACGTGAGCATTATGCTTTTTAATACTGAGCAGTATGAGCACAGAGACTGGAAGGGAATCTTGAATTATGAAGTCAAATCTCGAACTTGGTTTTTTTTTGGTGACACTGAGGAAATACTTCCAACTCATACTGTCCCATTGTAAAATGAGGATTTTCCACCTTACAATTTCACAGTGAATCTTCAGGAAAGATCACACCAAATTCTCCTTTGATGAAGGAGACAAAGGGTATTATCAACTCACACAAAGGGCAGTATAAGCTCAGACAAAAGACAATGTGCTGTGTTTTTTTCCACATATAGTACTTCTTCTCCACAAGGAACATGATAAAGAAGAGAAAACATGAGTGTTAGAATGAGCTATACCTAAGTCAGAATCTTTGATCTGTGATTTTTTTTTTTCTTTCCTGGCTGTGTAATTCTCTAATTCTCTAAGAAACTCAGTTTGTTCAGTTGTATAATGGGAAATAACAACACCTACTTTATAACCTCAAAACAACTCTCACAGGAAGGTTAAAGAAACAACTACAGTTCTTGGTACAGTTCCTCTTTACTACTTTTGAAAGATATACATAATCACCTGTGCGATTAGAGAGCTAGACTAGACAATTTATTAAGGGCTTTCCTGAGGCAATCAATTAGTAATACCAGTTATTGAACTTTAGAGAAGTTGTTTGGGAACATAATAACATAATGTGCACAGGTCTTTCTAATGTTAGCAACAATTATGTAAAACCTTTTCTTCTCTAGTTACGAGTCATAACGGCTCCCTAAAGTAGAAGGAAAAAGCATTAACAGCAGTTGCACATTTGTAATTAGACTAGCACATCCATATTAGTAACCTTTGAAATTCTGTAATTTTTAAGCTAATCAGTAAATCTTTCAAAATGTCAATGGCCAACAGGAGAAAAAAAGGGACTCCAAAGAGATATATGT